TGTTAATATTTTTGTTGAACATGTTACTGTTGTTATTTTTTAAAAATATTAATATTGAATGTTTAAATTTTTTTTATGTTTATATGTTACTATTTTTTTGTGTTTAAATGTATTATTTTTTGTGTCCAAATGATAATTTTTTTTTTGTATTTAAATGTTACTATTTTTTATTTTTAATGTTACAATATATATATATATATATATATATGAGAGAGGAAAAATTTTAAATTTTGTTAAACTCTTAACTTATGTATGAATATAGATAGATATGAGAGAGAAAATATTTTAATGTTAGTCAAACTCCTAAAATCTAGGAGTTTTTAATTTTTAGTTTTGATTTTATTTCTAAAGGGAAGAGATAGTATGGTAAAATTGACAAAAAATGGACTTCATAACAAAAAAAATTTCTTGATGAACTTAAATCCAAACAAGTCCATATAGGAGGACCAATCTTCAAATTTCCCAATTTTTAACCCCCGAAACAAATTAAAACCATGGAAAAGCACAATCTATAGCAAGTTTAACTCCACTCATGCCTAAAATATACAGTAACAAGTAATAACAATTTGTAGCAGTTTTTATTTTTTTATTTTTAAGTTTTAACGGTGAATGTGTTTAGATCAACTTATGTACACCTTAATTAATTCTCTCACTTGTCAAAGACATGTCATTTCNCATATTACTGTTATTATTTTTTTAAAATATTAATATTAAATGTTTCAATTTTTTTTATATTTAAATTTACTATTTTGTTGTGTTTAAATGTATTATTTTTTGTGTCCAAATGATAATTTTTTTTTTGTATTTAAATGTTACTATTTTTTATTTTTAATGTTACAATATATATATATATATATATATATATATATATATATATATATATATAAGAGAAAAAATTTTAATGTTAGTTAAACTCTTAACCTATATATAAATATAAGAGAAAAGATTTTAATGTTAATTAAACTCCTAAGATATAAGAGTTTTTAATTTTTAATTTTATTTCACTTCTAAAAGGAAGAGATAATATAGTCAAATTGACAAAAAACAGAATTTATAACAAATAAGTTTTCTTGACGGACTTAAATCTAAACAAGTCCATATAGAGGGACCGGCCTCCAAATTTTTTTTTTTTTTTTTGGAGCAATGCTATTAGAACTTAATTTATTGACCTGATTCACTATGACCTTTGGATTGACTCTAGGTTCTATCAAACATTGAAATTTGATGTTGATCTAATGATTCCAATGAAATCACATCATTTTGTCAGCAAGTTAAGTCAAATTTTTATGTTCAAATAGGAGATTTTTTTTAATTTCTATTACAAAAAATAAACTAAAATATTTTTTTATTAAACTAGAGAAACTAAAATCAACAGACTAGGATTGTTTAAAATTAAAATTGATAAAAAATTCCCTAAGATCGACTATCATGACAAAGATTAAAAAAATAAAAAAATATTAACATCAGAAATAAAAAATCTCAGTTTTAGTAGTTGTTTTAGACCTCAAATAGTCTTGGACCGCCTTGTCTATATAATTCACATGAACTAAAACCCTCTAGGATAAGATTTCTGCATGTGGAGGACAAGATTTCTCATGGTGAATTTCATATAATTCACATGAAATTGATGAGCCTTAAATAGAAATAATACCACCAAACTTATTGCAGTTGATAGCATTCAATTGAGCATGAATCTCATTTGTTTTTGACCCGTCAATCAGTTGGTAGTTTTGATAGCAACAAACTAATATCACTTCCTTTGAAGTCAGTAATTTTTATTTCACTTTGAGATCACATCAGACAAAATATAATTTAACCATCGTGTATTGAGAATTAAAATTAAACAAAAAAACCATGCAAGCCTAAATATAGGAAAAATAAATTCGCATATAAAAGATAATTCCAGCACATGACAAAGTTCTAGTATTCTGTAACAACTTATATTTTCCCAAAAAAAAAAAAAATTAAAGATTGATTAATAATATTATATAACAAAACATCATAGATTCAACATATTCAGACAAGCAACAGATTTAGCACATAGATTCAACATATTTATTTCTAAATACTGCTCATTTTACTGAACAAAATCATGCTTTAGCCCTTTAGGTGTGTTGATATTCACAAAAGTTGTATTCCAGGCACCAGATAAAAAATGAAACCCAGATTCTGGTTTGTAAAACTCATCAAAACCCCCTTATTTCACACACACATTGAAAATGAGCACCTAAAGACAAACATACAATATTCAACTAATAATCTCAATCACTATTTGGTTTGTAAAACTAACGCCCAGTGTAAGTTTACTAACTGTGGGACTCTTTAGTATTGTTAATACTGACCGGCAGTTGCAGCTACTCCTGTCTGGCACAACTAAGGCAAAAAGGCTCCTCTTGCTAGTGCTGACCGGCAGGCTCCAGCGAGGTCCTTCCTCCTGGTAGTCCACTAGTACCACCAAGGCAGACAAGCCCAGCACTCCTATTACTAGTACCGACAGGTACCCTTGCCAAATGACAGTAGACATCAGGGGCGGCTCAAGGTAATTTAAGGTCTAAAGCGATAATTATTTTGAGGTATCTTTATTTTTAGTATTAAAAATTTTGATTAAAATTATTTCTTCTCATTTTTTTTGAGTTGTAAAAGTATAAATTGAGTATTTATATTTAAATTTTGTTATCATATATATTTTTTTTCATTAATAATATTGCTATTCAAATTATTTTTCTTGTAACTATCGATTTTAAGTAAAATTTTATCAATTTTAATTTTGAAAATTTTCTTTTTGTAGAAATAATTATTACAAAAATTAATAATAATATTCTTTAAGCAATGCATACATTTGAAAAAAAAAATCTAGTCTTTTTATATAATTTAGTGTCTCAATTGGAGTATTTTCTTAAATTTATAAAATCTTCTTTAAAATATTTTATTTTAAAAATAATCTAAACTATCAATGTCAAAAAAATTGTTATGTTTAAGAAACATCCGAGATTAAGATAAATCTTTTTAAACTATCAGCATTTAATAATTTTATTTTTTAAGTTAAATAAAAAACCAATTTTTTTTTATTTGAAATTGATATGGAGATAGAGTGAGTGAAAATAAAAATGAGAGGGAGGGAATTTCTACTATTGCACAGAGAGAGATAGAGAATTGGTGGGTGAGAGATTTTTTTTTTAATAAAATTTTGTTTTTTTAAGTTTTTATTAATATGGGTTGAATCATGAGCTCAAAAAATTATTAAAATAACAATTTTTAATTGGCCTTAAATTTTAACTAAGGCTTTTTTGTAGGGCTTATAATTTTCATGGACTTAAAATTCTAATATTGGCCAATTATTTACCTAATTATGGGGTCTTCTAAAATTATAAAGCCTAAAGCTCAAACTTTTTTACTTCTACAGTTGGGCTGACGCTGGTTGCAATTTTTCTGGCGACACTAAGTTCAACTAAGGCCAAGAGAGGACTCTCCTCTCCTGCTAGTGCCGATAGACACACTTGTCGACTGGCAGTAACAATCCGTCTGGGCACAATTGTCTCACATGGGTAGGTCCAAGAAGCAGCCACAGACAAATCCCATTCAGTTAAGGATTAACTCGGGATCTAGAGTCCTAGCAAAACTTTACTTCGAGTATTAAGAGACAATTGATAAACCAAGCTTTCTAATGAGCACATCTGTTCCTACAATCTAGGACTCAACGTCCTATTACGATTTTAGCTCGAACATCTAGGGGATTGGTGATGAGGTCTATCCTATCGCAACCTAAAATTTGAGTTTATGTGGAACACTGCTTCCTATACCACTATAAATTAAGGTTCCGGGAACCAGGTATGTAATTCAATCCCAACCTATTTACTCTATTCTTTTCTTTGACTCGTTTACTGACTTAAGTATCGTAGTCTCTTTGGTCGTCTCCAGCCTTTGGTTCACTAAGGTGTACTCTTGTCTTGCAGGTTCACCAAGGTTTCTCCGTCATTCTCTCCATTTGTACGAGGTGGTGAATTTGTATGGATTTATCCCTGCACACTAACACTGTCTTCATTTGATTTGATTACAACATAATTGAGATTGATTCTACAATAAAGTTTTAACTTTTATCAAAGCCAAAACTTAATGAAATTAACAACAAAATTACCTAAAATCACCAAAAAATATTATAGAAATCAAACTTATATACCTCAATAGAAGCATGCCCACTATTTGAAATCTCAATTGGCATAACAAGCCAAGTACTATATGAGTTGATGGGGGCAAATTTAATCTCAACTAAGGGAAAGGTTCTAGTTGGCACTACCTTTAGAAATGCAACCGTTGACTAACCTGTTAGAGAGAAAGAAAATATGGAGGAATAATAAGCTCTGATAATCAGCTTTCCCCAACCTAGTAGGATGAGGAAACTAGAATGATGGCAAGACTTATCCCCATTTTTGAAAATAGGAACCTTATTTGCCAAAGACTAGTTCAAAGGGTGGGATTCGTTTAAATATTGTGAAGAAGATAAGTCAGCAAAGGATAAGGATAAGATCTCACCCTCGGCAAGCCTTTTTTCACGTGATCAAACAAACTCTTAGCACAATTAGGACTTTGGATGGCTATCCCAACAGAGAATAAAGTCCACAGAAGCCAAAACTCTTCAACCAAAAAGGATCAGACAAATTCAAACTATCAGGAGAGCCTAGAGTCTATTTTCCCTGGAATACCTATCAAAATACTATAAGAGGGGACCCCCAAGACAGTGTTATGAAAAGCGCGCCTAGGAGAGAAGAGAAGCGAGGCGAGACTAGCTCGCCTAGAGGACCCCAAGCGAAGCGAACGTGAGCGAGGCGAGAAAAAAGCGAAAAAAGCATTCGCTTTTGTTATAAGAGGCAAAATATTTTATTTTTAATTTAGACCATTGGATTGGGCGATTGCAAAATTTTTTTTAAGATGTTAATGTATCGAATTATTCCCTTATCCTATAAATAAAACTCCTAACCTAATTTTGTCTCTTTTTTTCTCAGATAGCTTCAATCGGTGCTGCCTCTCCACTGCTACACGATCGATCGGTCCAGCTCTCCACTGCTTTAATCGGTGCTGCTTCGATCAGTGCTGCTCTCCACTGCTACACGATCGATCGGTGCTACTCTCCACTGCTACACGATCGGTGCTGTTCTCCACTGCTACACTCCAAAGATTCGAGTTTTTCGCTACTTCTACACCATCGTTGCTGCTGGACAGAGATATCGTTGGGTTTGGAGGGCTAGTCTGGACTGTGGAGGTTAGTCTCTTCTTCTTCTCTCTTCTATTTTTTTTTTCTTGTCTTCTGCTCCTTCACCGATTCTGCTTATTCTCCTTTTTTTTTCTTGATCTGATTCAACCCTATCCTGCTTTGATTCTACCCTATTCTGCTCCGATTGTGCTTTTTTTTTTTCATTATGCTTCTGTTTTTATTTTCTTTTTTGCTTTTTCCTTATGTTGCTGTCCAAACTCCAGTCCATATGAAGATCCCATAAAAATGTAAGGAGTTAAAACCATATGTAAGCCTAGACAAAAAAAAAAAAAAATTGTGAATGAAACTCCAATCCGAAATACAATTTAATTAAGCTTTGATGGCATCTCACTCTCACATGATATGATCATTATAGGTGATTAGGCCCGTGTTTCGAATAATAGAACAATGTTATTTGAATCTAAATTTCTAATATAATTTGTTGGTATAATGGTGTGCCTTTACTTTACATAATTTGATAGCATTAATAAGGCTTTACTTATCAATTTTTTACTATTTTTTTTTCTCATTAGTTCCTTTACATCATTGGATTAGTGAACTCACTATAATGCTTCGTAGGTATTCTATAGAAAATACAAGAAAAATTGGGCAGAGGATTATTGAATTCATGGAGCCATTGATTTTGGTATCATATATACTTTCTGTGAATAAGGAGGAATTCACCAAACCCATGCATTTCAAAAATTTATTTTTTTTAAAATCAATCACTTTCAAACTTATTTCTTAAATTTAGTCATTTTTAAAAGACGTTTAAATATAACGCTTTTCACGCACTAAATATAAATATTGAACTAAATTTGATGTGTAGTGCGTTAAAGGCGTCATGCCAAATCATGTCTTTAAAAACATTATTTCAAATAATCTTTTAATTCATGAAGGCGTTATTTAAAATAATGTCTTTTTAAAAGTGATTGAATTTGAGAAATAAATTTAAAAATAACTTATTTTGAAAAAAAAAAAAATTGGGGTGGGGCATGCCTTTGGTGAATAATCATGTGTAAGCTTAGTTTCATTTGGTAATAATATGGTAGGAGACTGCATAAGAATTATACAAACAAATGAAAATGCAAGACTTAATGCATTCAGTACAAGTTGAATTGTTTACATGCGAAATATGAAATTGTTTACAATGTAATGCTTCTGATTTTTTTTTTTGTGCTGTTGTCCTGATTCTGCTTCTGTCCAGTCAATATGAAATTGCTCATGTGCTGCTTCTATTTTTTTTTTTTCCTCAGTCGTCTGTTTTTTTTTTTTTTGTTGCATTCTACTGCTGTCCTGATTCTGCTTCTTTTGTTGTCCTGTCCTGTCAATATAAAATTGTTTACAACTGATATAAAATGTGACTCAGTACATGTGAATGTGTTTTGTTCCTTTGATTGTAGTGTGATAGTGTTATTCATAAATGGCATCGTCGTCCGATGGGAACAAAAAAGATCCGACATGAAAATATACACACTTGGTAAATCCTCAAAACACAAACAAGTTCAAATGTAATTTTTGTGGAAAAGAGTCAAATGGAGGTGTCTATCGGGTCAAGCAACACCTAGCGGGGAACTCTACGAGTGTTATTACTTGTCCAAAATGTCCTACTCATGTTAGGGAGGAGATTAGAGAATACATGGCGAAAAAAAAAAAGAAGAGAAGAATCTAATGAACATGGTTCCCGACTTTGATGAGATGTCTAATGACTTGAAGGAGGATGAAGATGATATTGTAGAGATTGTTGCGAATCGTAAAAGATCCATGACTAGTTCTAGTCAAGGTTCTACACAAGCCACATCGAGACCAAAAAAACCAAGACAAAAAGGGCCTATGGATGTATACTTCACCCCTGATCCGAATGTTGTGGTGCAAAATCGAAAGACCAAGGGGAGACAAACGAATATTGATGCCAGCGATCCTTTTAGAAAGGAAATGAGAGAAAGAGCCATCACAACATTTGCCCGATGGATGTATGACACGGGAATTCCCTTTAATGTTGTGAACTATGAAAGTTTTGCAGCAATGGTTGAAACTTTTGGACAATATGGTCCTGGTTTGAAACCCCCTTCTTACCATGAGGTTCGGGTCCCATTGCTCAACAAAGAAGTAGGGCATATAAAGTCATTGATGAAAGATCACCAAGAGGATTGGGCAAAATATGGATGTTCCATAATGGCCGATGGATGGACTGACAAGAGAGGGAGAACCTTGATTAATTTCTTAGTGAATTGTCCAAAAGGGACCATGTTCTTTGAATCTGTTGATGCTTCTGCATACTCAAAGGATGGGCAAAAAATGTTTGAATTGCTTGATAATTTTGTAGAGTGTATTGGTGAAGCTAATGTGATTCAAATTGTCACTGACAGTACAACAACAAATGTGTTAGCAGGTATGAGCTTCTTGAAAAAAAAAAAGATAACTACTTGTTATATTGAATTTTTTTATGCATACTAGTTGATAAAAAAAATTTATTTAATAGGTAAGTTTTTGGAGGCAAAACGACCAAATCTTTATTGGACGCCATGTGCTGCCCACTGCTTGGACTTGGTATTGGAAGATATCTTCAAATTGCCAAACTTCAAGAGAACATTTGAAAGAGGAATAGCATTACACGGTTATATTTATAACCGTCCAACTCTGTTGAATATGATGAGACGATTTACCCAATCAAGGGAGTTGATTAAGCCCANTATAACCGTCCAACTCTGTTGAATATGATGAGACGATTTACCCAGTCAAGGGAGTTGATTAAGCCCGCAAAAACTAGATTTGCTACGGCTTTTCTTACGCTAACAAGGATCAACCAACAAAAAGGTAACTTGAGAAAAATGTTCACTTCAGAGGAATGGACTACAAGCAAATGGGCAAAAGAACAACAAGGCAAAAGGACAACACAAATCATTTTAAGGCCTTCATTTTGGAGTAATGTTGTCTACTCTCTTAAGCTTACTGGCCCTTTTGTCCGTGTGCTTCGATTGGTTGATGGTGAGAAAAAGCCTCCCATGGGGTACATTTATGAAGCTATGTACCGGGCTAAAGAAGCGATTGCTAATTCTTTTAATGGCAATGAAGAGAATTACAAACACATCTTTGAAATCATTAACCGAAGGTGGAAAGTTCAATTGCATCGGCCTTTGCATGCAGTTGAGTATTTTTTGAACCCAGAGTTTTTCTATTCCAATCTAGAGGTTGAGAAAGATCAAGAAGTCATCAATGGCCTATATAAATGTTTGGAAAAGTTGGTCTCAAATCCTGCGATACAAGATAAAATTGGTCAAGAGTTGAGTGTTTACATGAAAGGTGAAAACCTCTTTAAGTTGCCCATGACAATTAGACAAAGAACAACTAGGGCACCAGGTAATCTATGTTATCCCACAAGCTTATTTCAGTATCATTGCTTAAATATGTTAGTTAATTAATTGTTATTTATTATTCACAGCTAATTGGTGGAGTGCATATGGGTCTGCAACTCCAAATTTGCAAACCTTTGCAAAAAAAGTTTTAAGCTTTACTTGTAGTGCATCCGGTTGTGAGCAAAATTGGAGTGTGTTTGAGCATGTAAGTATCATCCTCAAACCTCTTCAATTACATTTTTTTTAATCTTATTATAAATTTTAATGTATTGTTAATAAATTATTGCAGATATACAACAAAAAAAGAAATAGACTAGCTCAATCATGTCTCAATGATTTGGTGTTCGTTAAGTATAATAGAGCTTTGAGACGCCGATATGATTCTCGTGACACAATTGATCCAATATCTTTGAAGGATATTGATGATAGCAATGAGTGGTTGATTGGGAGAATGGATGCAGACACAGATGAAGATAATGAGCTTGTGTTTGGTGATGATACTTTGACTTGGGGCGAAGTTGCTCGAGCTTCTGGAGTTACGGAAAGTAGCCAACGGACTAAATCAATACCATCTACTAGGGTAACACCAAGGTTTAGAAGATCGACGACTAGACTCACAGATGAGGAAGACATAATTTCAGATGAGGCAGAGGAGGAGGATATTGAGGGATATGAATCTAAGGATAATGAAGATGATGATTTCCTTAGTGATAAGGATTGATTTCTAAGTCCTTGAGATATTTTCTTTAGTTGCTTGAATTATGTGTCTTATGTTTTTAAATATTAGGATTTGAGATATTATTAGTGTTTGTATGAATGTAAATGTTTAAGCTATGACTGTTATTAAGATTTGCAATATTATTAATGTTTGTTTTAATTTAAATGTTTATGGTTTTACTTGAATTTAAATATTTAGTATATATAAAATTAAAACTTTGATGTGTATAAGTAATTACACTAAAATATTTATTTATTTTTTTAACTGCTCACTTCGCTTTGATAAATCGTTTCGTTTCGCTTCACTTCTCGTCTAGGCGTTAAGAGTCTTGGTCGCTTCAGTTCGCTTAACGCCTTAAACAACACTGCCCCAGGATAAGATCCAAGTAAGCACACTGAGTCCAGTTTAACTGCTACACCTCAATTTCTTAAATACTAACTTGAGCGTTGGACGGTCGGCCCCCAAAACACCCCTCTAATTTTTGACTTTCTTTTTAGGACCACGACTACCGAAAACATCACCCAATGCTTGGGAAAAGGTGTAGTTAGGCACAAATTAACCACAAAAAATTTTCAAAATAGTTGAACACATTTTTTATTCCAACACGGGTAATCACATCTAGCGGTGGAAAGCTCCAAGAAGGAATGGGGTTGCTATGTAAAGTTATTTGACTTTTTAGGTTTTTGTGTGGAGAATCCCATAAGTCTGTACAACCACTAAGAAGTTGTAGGGCCTATAAGGCAGAATTTAAGAGAGACTGATGGATAGGGGAAGGTGAATAGAGGGAGCTTCTTCTTGGCGAGTGGTGAATACGTAAAGGGAGAGGGAGAGGGAGAGGGAGAGGGAGAGGGAGAGGGTGTAATGTCTGAATAGAGAGTGAATAGAGAGAGAGAGAGAGTAACGACTGAAACATAGGGAAGGAATTGGGAGGAGCAGAGGACTTAGGTTTACTGGGACACTAATTCTAAATGATGAGGATGGCATTCTTTCGTTGTTAAAAGATAAAAGGTGAAAAAAATATTGATCAAGGATACTGATATTTTAGAGTAGTATAGATATGCACACCCATGTCTACAATATTGTTGTCTTTGATAACATGAATGATAGTATAATTGAGACCCCTAAAAATGTTATTGTTGGTAACTTTTCCCACCGTAAACCTAAGTGAACTAGCACTATCATAGGACAATGGAGGTATGAAAAATAAGTGTTTATTTTAAAGAAATGGTAGGTGTTTGATTAATTGGAATATTCGAAATAAGGAGGGGCATTATAAAGTCAGGTGCCTCCTCCTCCCATAAATCAGAGCTATCAAATGAAATTGCTTTTCTAGCGAGTTGGTGTGCCACCCACCCTACTGCCTGTTCTTCTAACAGTAGATACTTGAAAAAATTGAAGCTAATCAAAGAGTTTCTAATATCTATTAGCACAGAGCCCAACGGATCCATGTCAGTCTCATCTTCTAACAGTCACATTCATGTTGTCTATCCAAGCTAACAGATTCTCTTGCCACCAAAATCTCTACATTCTGCGCTTCACAAAATAAATTAATTCTCTTGGACATCCTAACCATGAATATCCCTCTATTATTCCTGATTACCACAACCACTCCAATTGTAGAACCCAGAAAGACGGTCTGCTGTCAGCACTAAAGGAGGTGGGTTTGATGAAGTGTTCTCGGGGAGCTCACATCCTTGTGCAAGGGTTGACAACTCACTGCCACTAGAGGAACCGTGTCTTGTTGTATGGGAACTCCTATCCACTGTCAATGGAGATTCTTTGGAAACATGATGTTCCATGGCTAAAAGGATGCAGTAATGTAATGAAGAAAAGGGGGGAGGAGGGAAAGTTGTAAGAGAAATAATGGGAACAGAGAAAAATAGGAGAGTAATGAGGAGTGAAGGATTCATGATTTGAAAGGTTGAAAAAGGTGAATCTCTCAAGGGGGAAGAGAGATGAGAGGAGCCATTTTAATATGGAAGAACTATGACAAAGACACAAATAGAGATTTCAACAGAAAATGCAACAAGGCTTCTCCATGATCCAACCAATTTGCCAAGTCTAACAATGAATAAGATTCTCTGTAAAAATAATTTGCCACACCAGACTTACTTGGTTCCATCAATTTATGCAGAAAAATAGACAATGTCGATGGCGGTGGAGATAAGCAGGACCGATCTGTTGTGCAATCGAGCGGCTGTCGATTTGCAGAGAAGAGGGAGGTGCGCTGCTGGAGAAGATGCTGGTGTCGATCATTGGTCATTGGCCACCACTGTCGCCAGTTGCCGCTGTTAGAGTGATAGGAGGTGGCGAATCGGTGGTGGTTAGGTGGATCTGGTGGTGGTGTTGGACCGGTAGGAGGTGGTGGAACAGAGGTGGTTTGGTGGATCTGGTGATGGCTGGCGGGCTGGGAGGATCTGGTGGTGGCTGGTGGGTTGGGTGGATCTGGTCACCTGTAGCATCCAAACTTCATATTAAAAAACTCGTTGAAGCAAAAGTGAAGTCATGGTCAATCCCTAACAATGGAAATACTACATCTAAAAATATACTACCTCATAACCAATGGGATCAACAAAATATAAATTTGAAACAATAGACGAAGAACTTGAGACTCCTACATTGGGGGGGGGGGGGGGGGGGGGGGA